CTCTCTCCTCTCTCCATCTCCCCTCTCTCCTCTCTCCATCTCCCCTCTCTCCTTCTCATCTCCCCCTCTCTCCTACTCCTCTCTCCCCTCCCTCTCTGCTCTCTCCTCTCTCTCCTCTATCTCTCTCATCTCTATCCTCCCCATATCTCCTCTCTCTCTCTCATATATCTTCTCTCTCATATATCTCTCTCATCTCTCCTCTCTATCTCATCTCTCCTCTATCCTCTCTATCTCCTCTCTCTTCTATCCTCTCTCCGCTCTATCTCTCATCTCTCTCTGCTCTCTCCGCTCTCTGCTCTCTCCGCTCTCTCCTCTCTCTCCTCAGTCCTCTCTCTCCTCTGTCCTCTCTCTCCCCTCTCCCATCTTTCCCCTCTCCTCTCTTCTCTCTCTCCGCTCTATCTCTCCTCTCTCTCCGCTCTGTCTCCCCTCTCTCCTCTATCTCATCTCTCTCCTATCTCCCTCCTCTCTCTCCCTCCTCTCTCTCCCTCCTCTCTCTCCCTCCTCTCTCTCCTCTCTGTCTCCTCTCTCATCTCTCTCTCCTCTCTCATCTCTCTCTCTCTCATCTCTCTCTCCTCTCATCTCTCTCATCTATCTCCCCTCTCTCTCCTCTCTCATCTATCTCCCCTCTCTCTCCTCTCTCATCTCTCTCTCTCCTCTCTCCCCTCTCTCTCCTCTCTCTATCCTCTCTACTATAGATGATCAGTTTTTCTGAAATTCTTTTATACCGGGTGTCCCATTTTAAAAAATACACGTGAATATCTCTTAAAGGCTTCATGAAAACATTTTTCAAATAAAAGTTGTAGGGTTTTGAAGGGGACAGCTAATGGTGGCCTTGACCATGACCTTCAAGGTCCCTTCAAAGTCAAGTAGATTTTTTCAAATGGAAACACATTTTTGACACCAGAAATGAAAAGAGCAGAAAATTTTATATCCGACCATGACCTTGAAGGGCATTTGAAGGTCATTTTAGTTTTTTGTTGCAAAATTCATTTCCGTCTTGCCTAATAGTGTACTCGGGGGGTTTTCAAGGGCGCTGATCGCGAATATTAAGTCAGAATTTGAAAATATTCAAATCCAATATGGCCGACCAATTTTTGGTAAACATTTTTAATATTCATATGGATTAACACTGAAAATGCTTCAACCTACGTGAAAACTCAAGGTCGAGCCGAGTATTCGACATATTGGATCCGCTGTATCGGATTTAACTATTACTAAATTCTGAGCTAGTCTGAGTTCAAAAACATTTGAATAAAAAATGCATGCCGCAAAGGGTTAATGGGTATTCTGGAAAATTATGGCGAGCTCATATAAGAAAGAAAAATATGAACGACGGATAAAGTTTTGCCTGCAAAATACTAGAATGACCTTCAAATGACTTTTGAAACTTAAGGTCATGATCAAGGTTATATCTGGAACCAAAATTCTCCGCACTTTCTATCTTAGTCTGAAAGATACCGGTTTCTATTTGAAAAATTAACTTGATCTTGAAATGACCGTGAAGGTTAAGGTCAATGTCATAGATGGACGTGAAATGGCCCGCTCTTCTCATTTCTGGTCTCAAAAGTAGAATTTTGCAACAATATCTAAAATGACCTTCAAATGACCTTGAAGGTCATGGTCAAGGTCACCATTAGATGTCCCCCTCAAAACTCTATTTTTATTTGAAAAATTTTTTCATTAAGCCCTTAAGAGATATGCACGTAAATTTATAATGATGATGATGATGATGATGATGATGATGATGATGATGATGATGATGATGATGATGATGATGACGATGATGATGACGATGACGATGACGATGACGATGACGATGACGATGACGATGATGATGATATGATGGTGATTATGATGGTGATGCTGATGCTGATGGTGATGCTGATGCTGATGGTGGTGATGGTGGTGATGGTGATGGTGATGATGGTGATGATGGTGATGATGGTGATGGTGATGATGGTGATGATGATGGTGGTGATGATGATGGTGATGATGATGGTGATGGTGATGATGCCGATGATGATGGTGATGATGATGATAGTGATGATGATGGTGATGATGATGATGGTGATGATGATGATGATGATGATGATGATGATATTAATCATGATGATATTAATAATCATGATAATGATGATATTAATAATCATAATGATGATGATATTAATAATCATAATAATGATGATATTAATAATCATAATGATGATGATATTAATAATCATAATGATGATGATATTAATAATCATAATGATGATAATAATAATAATAAGCATTTATTCATGTCAACCTTCATAGGATATGAAACGCCAGTAGGAACACAATAGAATAGACACTGAAATACAATATAAAAAAAATTGTTTAACTACCTATTATCATAATTGTAAAATTCTTGCAAACTGTAAAAACAGTTTTGCAAGAATAGTCCACTTATAATTAGTTTTTTATGATGCACTTTAATACTTGTGTACGCCGCCACTGTAATATTCATGTATTACAAATACATGAATTCTAGGCAAGCTACAGTGCATGTGAAGGGAGATAGTGCGGATTAGCAGTGACAAAGCGAAGGGAGTCAGTTGTTGTTTCGTATTTGGAGACAGTACATCTAACTGTGAATTAGAATGTTTTTCATGGCTGGAAGCCCTCGACAGACTATTTTGTATTTCATTTATCATTATTGATGACTGCTTGAGTTTTTTGCTAAGTACTTGTTAAATACTGTTTGTGTGCCGAACACCCACTCAACAAAAGTAACTCGCGGCGAATGGTGTGGAATTGTGCATGCGCTGCGACTAAAGGGCGCCGTTATTTGAAGTTATACTCTCTTCTCCGGCGGCAGAGTACGAAAATTACTCAAAAAAGGTTTAAAAAAATGTTTTTACGACGGAATTTGAAAAAAATAAACTATTGATGTGTTTCTAAAGGTCAAAGGAAGCCTGTGTATAAATATGGCCCCCACTCAAAGTTAACACCCTGCATAATGAGGGGAATACCGCTCACCAAAATTTGTATACTAACACGATTAAGTACAATTATTTCTCGATATTATTCTAATTATAACTAAAATATTACTTAAGTTACCCAAATAACAAAAATATCAAGCGCGGGCCCCCGGTCAATTGATTTAGCCACGCTAACATAAACAACTGTAGGTAAATAATTACTTGAGTACATTACTGAAGTATTATTCATATATTACTTAGTATTTCTCGAATATTACTCGATATTATTCAAGTATTACTTACTATTTTCAGAATTTATATTTCGCAGTATATCTCTGGCTTGTATACTATATTACTCCTACCATTTTCCTTTTGCTCTATATTCTATTCATGATATCTTTATTTCGTTTTGTTACAGATCTCTACCACGGATGCTGTATCGCAGAGTATTTGTGAAAAATGCTGTCACATAATCATCAAAATGTTTGAATTCAGAAAAAAGTCCTTAGAAAATGATACACAGTTGAAGGTAAGCCAAAATAGTTTGATGTAAGAAAGTTTTCCAAAATGTTACCGTATTTCTACTATTTTTACCATTCGGGTTAATCGCACCAAGCAAGTCCATTTGAATCTAGCTTGAAGATAGGAGCTTAGTTTGAGTTAAAGATTGTGGTTTATTTCAGTAGTAATCAATTCATTTGAATCTATCAGCATCAGACGTGATTGGACTTATTGATGTGAATTAACTTTGACGTTAATATAAAAAGAAGACGAGCCTGTGGAAAGCTAGTTTTGATTTATTTAAATGAAGCGCAATAATGTTTTATAGATATTAACTTGTTTATGAACATTTTTCAATTCGGCTTCATTATAATGGTGCTTATATTGTAGATGAAACAAGTTCTGTGTGTGGCTGTGAAAAAATTTCAGTATACTTGCATTTGGTACACTGCTCGTGTACATTAGCGAATTATTACAAGGAATAATATGCATAAGCGTCATATACTGTATTATAGGGAATAATGTAACAGCAGGAGGATGTAATAAACTTAAAATCGTCAGAATTGTGCGCTTAAAGTAATTGTAAACATAATAAATATATGCAGGTTTCAGGCTGAAAATAATGCCTTAAATGTATAATTAATTGCCACAACTTGTTCTCATGAATACACTCACTTTCCACATCAGTCTTCTTTCGCCAATAGTACAGTACTAGATGTAAATTGTATTATTACTAATTAAATTTTACTATAGATAAATTTTAATATACCTATAATGTTTTACAGGAAAAGCTGAAATCACTAAATAACGAAGACAGTACTCAAGTTCAAATAAAAGAAGAAATATTGGATATCCCTGAAGAAACGAAGAAAGATGCTCACAAACTTTCTATTATAATTCATCCTTCGGTGAAAGAATTATATGATCTATATCCTCACATCAAATTACAGAGAATATGTCTGACAACTAATGTAAAACCATTTGTAGTAATGAAAATGGGCAAAGTAGAAAGTTACTATAAGGAACGTAACTTAGACTTCGAAGAACATTGCAGATTAGCTATGAAATCGAGAACCACAGCCAGAAAAAGAACGTTGGCCTCCAAAAGAACTATCTATGAAAGTCCTCCTTGTTCAATAAGTGGACAAATAATTCAACCTGAGGTGGATGATGTAGAAGAAGGTGTCCTTCGCCCCATAAAGATTAAGATAATCCCAAAGATTTCTGCTAAGGAAAATGTGACTGAAGAAACCAAAGGTATATTTAGAATTACTGAAACCGAATCAGATGTACAAACGTCAGAGAAGACTGCACCGTGCCATAGAAAAAGAAAATACTCGGATACAAAGGAACTTCCAGCTAAGGAGAATGTAGGACTTAAAGAACCTGATCACTCCATGACCCTAACAGATGTACAAACGTCAGAGAAAACTGCACCGTGCCATAGGAAAAGAAAATACTCGGATACAAAGGAACTTCCAGCTAAGGAGAATGAAGGATTTAAAGAACCTGATCACTCCATGACCCTATTGGAGGGCTCCAAATCATTGTCGTATGTAAGCAATGTAACTTTGCCCCTGTACATATGCAATATTTGCGATGCTGTTCGGAATAACCCGAAAGATTTAAAAAAGCATCGAAATAAACACTTGCGCTGCCAATTCTGCAGATCTACATTCCGGTCCTTGGAAAACAAAGCTCAACACATAGAAAACGGATGCCTGATCAAGAATGCGATGAACAACATTCCTTGCGTCAAGTTGCTCAAAGTCGAGACAAGTATCGATATTGTGAAGACGTACCCCAAGGCTTTCGCCAATTTCTCACCTGCGACCAATATTGAAAATAGTGACTGTTGTGAAATACTTAGCAGCGAATCTGAGGCGGAGTTTGCCGAACCGTCTTTAAAACCAGTTGAACATATTACAGCGAAAAATACAATGGACGTGATAGAAATTTTATCTGACGATGACAACATTCCAACGAACCTTTACAACAGCACTTTGCAAGGAGATCCCTCACCCACAAAAATTCCTAAGCTCACACCGTCAATCAAACCTGATGTGAAAATAAAAAACAATCAATTCACAGACTCGATCAGTTCTAATTCGAATGAGATGCTTATTTTAAAAAATCTGTTGACCGGATTCAAACCTTTAACGGAAAAAAGTGTACAAACACACACACTAGATCAACACAGCATTGAAGTAGATAATCACGGTCAGACCGCACTACTTACTAACATGAAGCAGAATTTACACTTTTTCCAGGTACCTGTTGTGATAAAAGAAGGACCCTTCAACGTATCTTATCGCCATTTGGACAGGCCGATGTCAAAAAACTTGCAATTGTGGAATGATCTAATTCCGGTAGATATAAAAAGGAATACCGAACTTACTACAGTCAAGCAGGCTACTGGAAATATTATTAAGTCTGTCTCCAGATCAGTGGAGGCTAAAGAATCACAACCTACTGCTGTGATAGTTTCTAATCCCATCATTGAGGATGAGAGCCGTATAAATGTAGGTACATCTCATATTGCTTTTGAAGATAGTTCGATTAATACTTGTACCAGAACCTCTTACGATAAAAGCTCAAACAATCTCCCGCATTCTGACTCAACTATTGTATCCATTACAAAACCAGACAGTTCAACACATAACCACATTTCCGTCGTCGAATCTTCAACAGCTTCTATAAAATTGACTGATTCTTCTATCACAAATCAATCAACATCTGTTGCTGAGGATCGTACTACGAGTGTCATCCAGTGGAAGCCTCCACTTGTCACAAGTTCTAGATCTGATTCAAGTCTGCAAGATATTGCTCGACCTAAATCTACAATAGACTGCCGTACTTATTCTATTTCAGAGAAATTGAGAATTTTACATACTGAAAACCATATGACCGTTACTTTCGAAGACACTTCTACTGATAAACATTTAGTGAATCCTCCAGTTGTTCCAACTCCAGTGTCTCTTCCCTCATATCTAATTCAGCCAAATACTTCAGTATACAATGTTCCTGACGCGGTAAGGTCAGTACCTCCTACAACTACAGTATCTCATAAAGTACTTAATTTTACAATTCCACAGTTACACAAAGAAAGATCTGTATTAAGCCCGAATTCAAATCATACATTCAGTGATACGCGAGATAAATATACATTTTTAAAGCAACCTGAAACTTCGTTATCTGGTACATGTAAGTATCCTGACGAAGTTACCAATAGAAAATCTCGAGAGCCTCTAGCTACAGACCAATCTGGAAAAACTTCCAGTACTCTGTGTAACACAAAACGACAGTCTATCAACGCTAGTCTAAATAATAATACAGTTACAGGAAATGTTTGTACTCCAACTACATCTATGAGCTACCATTGGCCCCCGGGCGTTTATAAACCTGTTAATAGTAAGAATATGCTCGGGGTCTCATCAAATTCATTTACTGCTGGACATTCCAATGACCCTATAGTAGTCGATAAATCAAAAAAAATTATAAATAGGCCTACATATTTTCCCCCTAATATTTCTCAACCTGTCCCTCTTTCATATTCAACGACTGTGATTGGCTCTAGTGTTTCTTACGCTACATCACAGTCTTCAAACAGTATTAAATATGTTCCCGTCCGCAGCAAAATTGATGCCAGAAGAAGTTCTCTTCCTATTCAGACATTGAAAACAGTTCCACCTCCTCCATATTCTGTGGCTGTAGCTTCCATATCTAATAACAATTACTATACACTGCCTCATCAAATTACAAATAAAATTAGTGATGGAGGAAATTCATTTTTCAATACAACAAATGCTGTCAAGTTGCCTCAACATTTTTCTGACTCGCGAAAGCCTTCAGTAGATAATAAGTCTGTGACTAGCAACACCGTTGCAAAGAGTTCGTTAAATATTTCTCATGTCCCAACCGTAACTACTTTTGCTCAGATGCAGCCTATCTCTTGTTCGGTGGCTACGCCACTATTTGGCCATATTAGAGTGAAAAACATGCAAGAACTGATTTAGGTTAAGATTAAAGAAAAACGTTAGATTGTTAAGTTTATATCATGATCTGTTAAGTTTATTTTTTTTACTTTGCAATAAATTTATATCCTTTTTAAAATGTGTTTTATTTTCAAATAAAATAAAGTTTTGAAAAGAAATTAATAAATGAAAAAGCATTTTGTATCGTATATAATAAAACTATTTGTACATATAGATACTATAAATATGAACTAAATTACGAAAATACTGTTTCTATTCTAGTTTGTTTATATTTCTGTTCTCATGTTGATATTATTCTGTTTTGATCAAAGTCCTAATGTAAAATGGAATATGTTATCACTGGAAAGCTATGTGCAATATGAATAAATATTTTTCCCTAAAAATGATTCAGTTTTTTGATAAGCCTTACATAAACTTAGAATAATATAAATGAAAAACAATTTTATATTATATTTTATTTGCAAAGCTGTGCATGCTGTTATATGTAAAAACTTTTAGACATAAATAAGAGTGTAAAAAATTACTGTTTTTCTAGTAATGGATTCTTAAAATATTTTTCCTAAACGATCATGCTTCTCATGTTTCATAGTTACTTATATGTTGAAGTTTCAAAAAATAATGTACTATATACAGGGTCGGAAAGTCCCCATGGTTCATCGGCCGTTACGTGAGAGCGATAAAGTAAGTCATAGAAATCCGTGCGATAGAGAAAGATGGCTATAATGAAGGCGTCTAATAATCACCGCCCATTTCGCCCTTCCACAAATAAGAAGTGGATCTTATTTGTGGAAGGGCGAAATGGGCGGTGACTATTAGACGCCTTCATTATAGCCATCTTTCTCTATCGCACGGCTTTCTATGACCTTTATCTCTCTCACGTAACGGCCGATGAATCATGGGGACTTTCCGACCCTGTATAAGTGTGTAATTATTATACATATGTTAATACTTATATATTAATACTATATGTATTATTGTTAAGTATTGAATATACATGTGTGTATTCAAAGTACGTACAAATTTAAAAAATTGAAATTAAAAAATCAGTCGATCAAATTTAAAGATAAACATAGAAAGGCAACAGTATATTGTCATAATATTGTTCCAAATTAGCAAGCTCAAGTTCAAAACGCTCATTTTTGTAATTATTTAGGTACCTACTAATAGTTAATTGCCTCAAATCTTTCTTGAATAATGTACCTACTTCCATAAATACTTAATAAATAATTAAAGGCTCACATTTTAAAACTCGTTTTCGAAGAAACAATAATAAAAATAAAGCCGAATATTCCATCTTGTAAATTCAAAATGGTGTTACCGTAGTTTACCAGAATACGCCGCGCAATCTTGAATATTAGAGAAAAATATATTTATGTATTATCTAGCCTCTACTGTCTACTTGCAAGGCTCACGATCCATGAAGCATTAAAAATATATTAGTTGAGACATTTTAATGAATTCTACATTCTTGAAGCTCACTTAAATACTTCAGAAATGAAATACAGTTAAATTGGACTTTGAGGGGCGTTTGTACAGTTGTCTTAAAAAAAGTTATGCAATCAAGAAAACTGAGCAACATTTTTTAACAGAAAAAGAAAACTGAAATGTTTTTAAACAGAAAAATTTAAATTTTTATTAATTCTGTTTGATCTTTTCAAAGAGCAAATTCTAGGCGAAGGCCTTTTTCGATTCGCGCGTAAAATTTAGAATTTCAGTATATGGCTATTTGGTTTTATAATATTGTGGGGTATGGAGCACTTAGGCTTTATTTTTATGGTTGGTCTATTTGTACTAAAAATTTGGACTTTGGGGGTGATCGCCCCTTCCCCCCGTGCATCAGCGCCTGACCAAAATACAGCTAGGATAAATCCAATAAAGATGTCATTTTAAATATATAAAAAAATCCAAACAGGATGTTTTTTTTAGAGCAAAATGACCTTCATAAAAGTTTTACAGGATCAAATTCTAAACAACTTTTCCTTATAAAATTTGTTTTTATGTCGAATACTTAACGAGTCACTGCGCATTAAGTGACAAAAATTGGGTCTCATAAACATGTTTTTACAAAATAATGACCTTGGTAAAACTGTAGAGGATCAAATTCTGAATAACTTTGCCTTATATTTTATTTTTGTATTTCTAATATGTTACTTAACGAGTTACTACGCATTATATGAATTCGTTTACATGTATGTACGCGAATTTGTAGGTATATTATTTTGAATGTGCTCATTGTCGTCACCCAAAATACTACCAAACAAAAGAATACGTAGGTACCTACTCCTTTTGCCTTAATTTGTACAACCTCGCCAACAGTCAAAAAATATTTGCATATAAAGAAGGTAGGTATCCATTTTCGCGACACACAAAACTAATAATTAACTAAAACTATTACATATAACCAAACACTGCTGAACTAAAATGAATGAAAACTAAACATGAACTAATGCAGCCTGTCAGCTAACACGTGACAGCCTAACCTAACACCGCTTGCACCACGCCCACTGTTGCCAACTCTTTGTAAAAACATGTTTACAATGTTTACAGCGTGCGCAATTTTTTTATATATATATGCACAGTAACTTGTTAAGTATTAAAGATACAAAAATCTTTATAAGGAAAAGTTGTTCAGAATGATCCTTTACAACTTTTATTAAGGTATTTTTTTTTGTAAAAATTTTATAAGGAATAGTTGTTCACAATTTGATCCTCTACAACTTTTATTAAGGTCATTTTGCTCCAAAGAAATATTTAGGAAACCACCCCCATAACGCAAGTCGTACCAGGAGTTCGAATGTTATTTTTTGGTTAGATACTCAGGAAGCAGTCCCCAAAGGACCCTGAAAATCATCCTGTTAATTTTTTTTTCGGACTCTATAAGTCGAGCACAACTTTATATTATCGATCCAAATAGGATCGATTTACGAGTATCAAAGAATATTGAAACTACTTTACTGAATCCCCTAGCAATAGCCAATCAGTTGTCTCGTATCTTAGAAACCAAACTAGATGTCATTAAATCTTAATTAAAATTGATTTGATAAACTGGCCGTTAGGAAGGCTATGGTTAACCGGGACTAATTACCCAATATACGCGTAGCGCAGACAGCTACAAAATATACTTATTTAAACGTACATACATAGTTTAGATAGACTGTTTTTAGATTTAGATCATTATTTATCCAGGCCATAACTATGTCACGCCCATTTAATATACTGTAGTACTAAGCAGTTACTATTTTACCATACTTTACAGTCATTATATAATAAAAATACTTAAATAATATAAATAAAATACTTAAATAAAAAATAAATTGTTTTAATTAACTAAGGAGTCTAAGCCACTTTTCATAGCATTGAAGTTATTCCAACATGATCCACCTAAGTCACGTCACCTAGGACACCTCATTAGTAATGCCCTAACCCTAACCTATTTCGTAATGACGTCATTTCCATCTCACTTTACACATTTAATTGGATCCATACCCAACATGTAAGTTCTCTACATTTCATGTACCCAACAATTTTCAAATATTTTAAGGGGTTCCATATATATTTATTACTGTCTAAACTAAAAACCGCCCAATATTAGTAATGGCCGATTATTTCCTGAAATGACCAAATCGAAGTGCTTATAAGGCCGAGTAATCCTGTCGTACTTCAAAATTTACCGATGTTTCGAAGCCAACCAACAAAACGCTCGAAACTCATATTTCTTACACAAATGCAAAAAGGAAAAAATAAATGAAAAAATAAATCTAGAAATTTTTAGTTGCATTTGCAATATTACCGAAAAACTGACGTTCGCGAGAAGGATTTTCATTTAGATTTTATAAAAAATAGGAATATTAGTNCAGCGACTGGGTGCCCAGACCTCTTCGTCGCATAAATGTCTAGAACCAAATATTTCAATATATTCACAAAATAATAAAAATATCTATTAACCAAATACCCAAAAAAAAGGTAATGCTAAATCGACAATACATTTATACACAAAAAAATCATAAACTTAATACACTAATATATACCCTAGAACAGGGGTCGGCAAGTAATTTTAGGTGGGGTCCGGATACTTTTTAAAATTTTTAACGAGGTCCAGAAAAAAAATTCATACTTCTTACAAATTTTCATTTGAACTCAAATTTAATCTGCTTACTAACCATTAAGAACTCAAAACACTTACACAATTGTAAAATACTAAAAAAAATGATAAGGTTGTCACTCAAACATAAAAAAAACATTTTTTAAATAATTTATTTGAGTAATTTGTACTTTCAAAAAATTTTTGGCGGTCCAGTATTTTACCTTTCGCGGTCCGGACCTGGACCGCGGTCCGCCAGTTGCCGACCCTTGCCCTAGAAGCACCAAACAATATTTGGGAAATTTTCCAAGTGATATAAACATAACTTTAAGTCATTTTGTGATTGTAGGTTATATTAAATAGTATATTTAAACTGATATAATAGTTGTATATTAGAAGTTATGCAAAAGTAAAGAATATTAATATATTATCAATTATCAGTAAGTTTGTAAGAATAAATATTATTATTTATTGAAAAAATGATTAATTTCATTTTCCCTAAATTACACCCCCCCCCCCGGGTTTTGTTTGGTGGGCACCCACTACCTGCTTGAAGTTGTTGCGCCACTGCATGCAGTTATGACTTGAACCCACTAGAAATTAGAAAGATCAAAATTCCTGTAATTGTTGAAAAAGGACCAGTTTTAATTCCAGAATACAGATCGAACGTTTATTACATACCCGAAACATTATCAACTAGTATAAATTATTTTGCCGAAATTGAAGTTCACAACTTGTCAAATTTACACAGATTAGTTTCATTTACAGAACCACAAAAATCAGAACCTTTTAATGAACATGAATTCGAAATTTTTAATTGTGAAATTACTTACTCTAACCAACCTAACTCTCGCATTGATATAAAAGAAATTATTAGGACAAATCATATGAATGACGAAGAAAAAGAAAACATTATCAATTTATGTTTAGAATATTCAGACATTTTTCAAAATCCAACAGATCAACTACCTTTTACAAATACAATCAAACACGAAATTAAGACTAAAGACGAAAATCCCTGCCATA